CGAATGCCATAGTTTGAAGGCAACTTCTTTAGGTTCCCTTGTTGACTGAAGAATGTCAGTATTCTCAACCTCTTCTATCTAAAGTACAATCAATACAATTAGTTAGTTTTTTTCTCAGAAAACTAACCTCAGTCCTACAAAAGCAGAAAGCAGAGGCAACTGTGTTTCACATTTGGGGAGTTTAATGACTATGAAATTGCAGAGTTGTAACACTGGGAGGAGAGAATGTAGGTACAGAATTTAGCATAGATGGTTGACAGTAAAAGTAGCTTAAAAACAAAAACCTCTGGCTTTAAAATCTAAACAAAAGAAATAATTCTCTTAGTGGTTGGAAACCGAGTCTCGAATATAAATTTTACTGCTATAATAACAATAAAATGGATAAAATGAAAAATGGCATTGCTATTGTTGGCAGGTGGAGTGCAGAAGGCAAACCAAATTTGCAGAAAAACTTGACAGTTGAAAGAGAATGATAATCATCCTGTGATCCCACAGGGGGGTAGTGGAGCATAGGGCTTCTTGAGCAGCTGTTCTCAATTAGAGTCATTCTCAATGTTCCCTAGGAGACATTTTGTGACATTTTGTTGTCACAACTTGGAGGAGGGGGGAGATTCCATTGGCATGTAGTTGGTAGAGTCCAGAACGCTGCTAACATCTTACAACGCATAAGATAAGCTGCACAACAAATTATCTGACCCCGAATGTCAAAGGTACCATGTGAAACCTAGCTAGAGCACCTGTGTTTGAGTCCCAACTAGGCCAATTGCTGTGTGACCCTGGGTGAATGACTTAGCCTCCTAAGCCTCAGCTTTCTCATCCAAGAAAGTGGAGAGCTGATGACTGGTAACATTTATTGAGTGTTATGTGCCAGGCACCACTCTGAGTGGTATTTTCATTTGTTCCTTCTAAAATCCTATGAGGTACTATTATCTCATTTACAGATGAGAATAAAATAAAGCTCACAGCACATGCCTAGGATACAGTGGGCATGAGTACACAATAGCCATCAGTTCTTAGGGTTTTTTTTGAAGCTTTACTTTTTTTTTTTTTTTTAAAGATTTTATTTATTTATTCATGAGAGACAGAGAGAGAGAGAGAGAGGCAGAGGGAGAAGCAGGCTCCCAAGGAGCAGGGAGCCCGATGCGGGACTCGATCCCAGGACGCTGGGATCATGACCTGAGCCGAAGGCAGACGCTTTAACCATCTGAGCCACCCAGGCGCCCAAGGCTTTACTTTTTTTAGAGAAATTTTAAGTTTACAATAAAACTGAGAGGAAGGTCCAGAGATTTCCTATATACCTCCTGCCCCACACATGCATGATGTAGGAAAGATGTTGGGGTTCAGAGCTGATGGCCAGGAAATAATTCTTGAAATGTCTTTGGTGCAAAAAGGTGGTTTTATTAAAGCACGGAGACAGGACCTGTGGGCAGAAAGAGCTTCATTGGGGTAGCGAGGAGCGGCCGATTATATACTTTCAAGTTGGGAGGAGGTTAGGGATAGTGTAAGTCTCTAAGGAATTTTGGAAACAAGGTTTCTAGGACCTTGAGGGAGCTAGCTATTGTTAGGAAAAGGTCATTTATTACTGTCTAAGAAAACCTTAGTCATGAGAACCTTCAGATGTATATCGGTGGGTGTTATGCTTGGGGGATGATTGCCAACATGTATCTTGGGGGGGTAGAGATAAAGGAAGTTTCCAAAGGAGTTTTTATATGTTAAAGTAGACTTACAGGATCCTGAGGATTGGGCTAAGATTGCCTTTTGCCATTAACAAAGTATTAACATGTTGAGTTCCTAGAGGAATGTCACTCTGCCTGTTTCAAGGACTTGTCAGTGGGCTGTAGGTAGTCAGGAAATTTAATTTTTCTTTTGCCTTTGTTTCCCACATCAATGCAGGGCTATTATCAACACTTCCACATTCATTACAATTGGTGAACCTACATTGGCATGTCATCATCACCCGAAGTCCATAGTTTACATTATGGTTCATTCTTAATGTTATACATTCTCTGGGTTTGGATAAATGTGTAATGATATGTATTCACCATCATGGTACCATACAGAATAGTTTCACTGTCCTAAAAATCCTCTGTACTCCATCTATTCATCCCTCCCTCTTGCTAACCCCTGGCAATCACTGATCTGTTTACTGTCTTCATGGTTTTGCCTTTTCCAGAATGTTATGTAGTTAGAATCATACAGTATATAGCCTTTTTAGATTGGCTTCTTTCACTTAGTAATACACAGTTAAGATTTGTCAATGTCTTTTTATGACTTGATAGCTCATTTCTTTTTTTTTTTTTTTTTTTTTTTGCTGAATAATATTCCTCTGCCCTGACGTAACACAGTTTATCTGTTCACCTACTGAAGGACATCTTGGTTGCTTCCAAGTTTTGGCAATTATGAATAAAGCTGCTATAAACATCCGTGTGCAGGTTTTTGTGTGGATGTAAGTTTTCAAATGTTACAGTAAATACCAAGGAGCATAATTACTGGATCATATGGTAAGTGCTTAGGTTTCAAAAAAAGATGAAGTGAGCAAAGCATATTTCCTTTTTCCCAACAGTCTTGGCTATTACTAATGAAATTCCTAGGTTCTCTGACCTCTCTACTTAATGAAAATCTTTCTCTGTGTTTAGAAAAAATGTAATAAGCTTCAACCATCTTTGGTAAGAAAACAGATATATCAAGAATGAGAAATGCATACTATGGATTCACTTTATAATAAAAAACTTGTCTGCCATAGGAAAACTAAAAGTTTACTTTTTTTTTTTTGAGGTGGTATTAACCAAATAATGACATAAATATATAATTACATACTGTGAAAAGCTTTATGAAGACAAAGGAGCTATGAGATTCTATAATATAGGGACCTATCTAGTAGCAAAATATGAATTATTTTCCCTCAGCAAAACATAGGGAGGGTTTCAGTGGACCTACCTTACTTTATAAATTATTTATTGTTATATAGAGAGCCTCAGATTGAATTGCTTAGCATGTATGATAAATAGGCAAAACAGTCCAAATCATTCCTTCAGTGCCTGTACAGTCTAAATCACAGGAGCTTAATTGTTGTATCATTCCTACAAGGTTATCCTTGAGTCTTCTTTCCTTCATACCCCACCCATCAGCAAATCGTTGGCTAAATTTTCATTCAGACCATTTCTTCTTTACCCATTCCTATTAATCTGTACCAAGCCCCATCATCTCTTGCCTGAACTACTGCACTAGCCTCCTAATCAATCTTCCTGCTTCTGCCCTAGCTCACTCTCAATTCATTCTCTGTACGGTAGTCATAGGGGTCCTTATACTGTGTCACTCTAAAAACTTTCTAGACATTTCCATTTTACTGAAAAGACAAGACAAAGTGTTATAGCAGCCTACAAATCCTTCAAATCTGGTCCTCTCCAGTCTTTCCTCTTTGCTATAGCCAGTCACATTCTGCCTCCGGGCCTTTGCACATGCTCTTTCCTCTGCCAGCAAGGCTAGCTCCCTCCCTTTAGGGCTCTGCTCAAATGCCACTTGATTAGGGAGGCCTTCCCCCAGGGCACCCCATGTAACACTATGACACCCCTATACTCCCCTCCCCCACAGGCACAGAAACACTATCCCCTTTCCCTGCTTTATTTTTCTATTTTAGTTAGCAATATTTAAATAACATAAAGATTTATTGTCCTATCTCCCCCACTAGGGTATAAACGCCATGAGGGCAGGAACCCATGTGTTGGCCCTAGCACAGTGCTTGGCCCAGATAGCGTTCAACACCTGTCCAGTGATTCCGACTGCGGCCCCAGAGACATCTGAACGGCTTGTCACGAAGCTCCTTTCCTTGTGCTCCTTTTGTAATAATTTGGGACACATTCACAACAGAGTAGGAGACAACACTCGGCCCCCGCAATGAGGGACCTCAAATCTCCCCCCTTGCACCCATCTGTAGAAATAAACAAAAGAGAAGTCGGAAGAGCTGCTCTCCGAGGGCCTTAGCTGCTCGACAACTGTGTGACGCTATCTAGCCAGGCTTGCGAGCCTGTCAAGTTCAGTCTGAGGGAGAAGAAAGCAGGACATCGGAAACCAGCTCAGACGGACTCAAGAGGAACGCGGTCTGGCCTGGTTAAAAACACGTGCTTATGCCTTCACCTTTTCTGTGTGTAGAGGCCACCACTTTTAACCCTTCTCGTCTGGGGAGAGCGCTACGGGCCAGCCAGGATCTCCTGAGGCAGCGCCGAGGAATGGCGACCAAGGGACCCAGGTGTCTACCTCAACAGGAGCTCTACCCACGTTTTGGTTGTTAGTCAGCTGTGCTCAGCCGGGGATAGTGTAAATATTCTGCTCAGAAAATGCACTTCAGTGTGAACCAAGTGCAGTAGGGAGTGCTTTAACCTAACCGGGACGTCGTCAACCGATCACCTCCTGAAAAGAACGGACAAGGAGCATCCATCATGGCTGCCGGGGGCAGCGCAGCGAGAGGCAACCGAAAGAAAATGGCGCCGGGGCGCGCGGCCAGTGACGGCAGGCCCAGGCTGGCGCGGCCAGGGAGCCGGCAGGGCCATCTAGGGGCGCCAGCCAGGGACCCTGAAGACCTGCCCGGGCTTAAGATGCCTGAAGACCCTGACACTTGACGACTACAACATGGAGGACAGTTATTGTGTCTGCAAAGCAACTTGCACAAGGAGGCCCGCGTTCCGTCTCGGGTTCGGAACCGGCAAAATCCTCTATTCTCCAAACAGAATGCGTTACGCACACTGCGCATCTTCGCAATAGTGGGCCGGGTAACGACGCAAAGAATGTTACGTCGCACCGGAGGCTCTTCCCCTCACCCCACCCCACGTTCTAGTTCAGGTGGCGCGAGAATTCTACGCCCGCTTCGTACTTTATTTTTCTTCTACGGACTGCAAAATGTACCCGTCTGCGCAACTGACGTAAAATGCTTCCAAGAATACCCTTAGTACTCCGCCAAGCCCTCGGGCTATTCCAAGACGCTGTTTACGTATCGTCTCCGACGTACGTAGCGTTAAGCTGGAGCAGTCTCAGCGCCGGCCGCCATTTTGTGCAGTCGCTGGGAAGGAAGGAGACGCCTAAACCACGGCACTGCCGGGTTTGAGCGTAGCCACACCTACCCACTGTTTTTATAATCCCGATTCTCTGTGTTTTGCTCCCGTCTCCGACGAGAGAGGCGGCGACGGTGGCGTCTGGGACGGGAGACAGCGCGTCGGAGCGAGAGAGCGCCGCGCCTGCCGCCGCCCCAACAGCGGAGGCGCCGCCGCCATCGGTCGTCACCAGACCGGAGCCGCAGGCCCTCCCGAGCCCGGCCATCCGTGCCCCGCTCCCAGATCTCTATCCGTTTGGGACCATGCGCGGAGGCGGCTTTGGGGACCGGGACCGGGATCGTGACCGTGGAGGGTAAGGGGGGAGGGGGAGAGGGAAGGCCTCGCGTGTGCGTGGGCCGGGGGTGGGGGGGAAGGTTTCCGGAGGAGACCGCAGCCTGCGGCCGAGCGGGAGACCTGGAACGGACTGCGGGCCTGGGAGCGACGCCCCCGATTCCGGGAGGCGAGGCGTCCTGGGACTTAATAGCGGTTTGGTGCGCGGGCCTGCGGGTGGGCCTGCGCCCCGGGATCACGGGTGACCCGGCTGGGGGGCGGCGGCCTGGCGACGCCCCAGCCCCTCCTTGCGGACCGCCGTCGTGGCGGGGAGCGCGAGGCGCCGCAGACCCGGCCGGGCCTCGCCTCGCTGCCCGGCTTTCGAGCCCGGCGGATTTGGGCAAGTCATTTGATCTCCAGGCCTCAGCGCTCATCTGTAAAACACGGATGTTCTGCTGAGAAGAGGAGGAGGTCTTCGAATGCGGCCTGGGAAAATCTTGACGCCAAATGGCTTTCCTTACGTTATCTGTCGCCAGAGATCACTGTTAATAGAACTGGAAACTAACGAGACCAAAAGGCTGATTTCTAGTTTTTTAAATATATCTTTAGATCCCCTTTAGTCGTATTTCAGGTAACGACATTGAAGAGTAAAGCAGTGGAATTGTTTGCCATCTAAATGATCATATTTGAGGAGGGAGAGGTTTTTTGTTTTATTTTTGCTATAGGGTTCCTCCCCATATTCCTTTTCTCCAGTTGGACTGGGGTATTAGAGTTTTCTAGGCCTGACTAGAAAGTTTTTGATGGGATAATGCCACGGTTGAAAGTTAACAAGATTAAACCTGAAGTCTTCCCAGATACTGAGATTGAAATCTTAACATCAGTTAAAGGAAAAAGTTACTCAAGAGATTCATGTTCGTTTGTGCTGTTACTTTTTGTAATAAACGTCTTATCTTTGGATAAAAAGTAATGGAACGCCAGTTATTAACATATGTGACTTTGTGCAAGATCCTGGACCTTTGTGAGCCTGTTTTCTCAACTGAAGATGGGCATAAGTAATTGCCTTTACTTTGCATTGTTCTTGGGAATTAAGACACTATGTGAAATTGTCTCTTTGTAGTAGGTGTTCTGTTAATGGTATTTTCTCCAAACATTTTTGTCTTTTGTGGTTCAGATACAGAAGTCCCAGATCTTCTAGTCACAAGCACCTCAATTATCACTTGAATTACAAAATAAAAAGGATTACTTTATTTATACCTTGTTAGGAAGGAAAATATTTGATCGTAGTGTTAAATTTGGAGGGCTAGAAGTGGAATGTTTGCTTAGTGTTTCACAGTATAGCTGTATTTAAAAGTGAATTTCAGTGCAACCACTTAAGACAAAGAATTTGACATTACCTAGTAGAAAATGACCCAGTAATTCCTCTTGAGCTTTATACCCCATACACTAAAGCCTAGAGAAATCCTTGTACATGTTCCCCAGCATTCATGTACAGAAATGTTTATACCAGCACTGTTCGTGACAGTATTGGGAACTGCTCATCTCTGGTAAAGTGTGGGTGTTCATACAGTAGAATACAATACAGCAGTGAAAAGAAAACACGCATCAACACGGATGACTCACAAATGTGGAGTGAAAAAGCAAGTCATGATAAAAGGATAATACCTATGAGGATACATAGGACAAGACTCTAAAAAGCAAAATTGGAGGTGATAGTTACGGGGTTTGTAAACGTGAAATAGGCACAGGGAGCTACCAGGGTACTGAATGTTTTATTTCTTCGCAGTGGGTGTTGAATAACTTAACCATATATATGTTTTAACAATAAAAATAAATTATTTGAAAAGTGAATTATTGATCCATACTTTACCCCATATTGACTATCAGATGACTTTTTTTTTAAAGCTTGAAAAACTTCTTTTCAAACAATGGCACTTTTTCATAAGATCTGTGTCCTAATTCTACATTTGCCATGAAATTTCATTTACGATTTGAATTGCTATATTAATGTTACAGAGCTGAAATGGATTATTATTTTGAAAAGGGAATGAAAGGTTTGTGTGTGTACATGGAAAATCCAAAAGTGATGTGCTGTGTACATTTAAGCTAGCATGATGTTGCATGTTAATATATGAATCTTCAGAGCTGCATTTATTGCAAAGCAATCAAAATATCTAATGAGCAGTATAGTATGCCAGGGATTAGGATATGTGCATTTTTGAAGGATGGCAAGAATGTGCTCAAAAATTCTGTAAAAGGCTATCTTGAATATTGAGGTAAGCTTTAATTATGGTGGGAGACAGCATATTTTTAAAGAACCCCATGTTTCAAATTATATCTGTGTAGAATGATATGTCTTGGTTAAATAATCAAGGCAATAGGGAGATGGGAAAAACCTCTTCTGTTGAATAAGCCTTAAAAGGAATGTTACTTTCCAGAGTTGTGTTTTCTTTTTTTTTTTTTAAAGATTTTATTTATTTATTTGAGCGAGAGAATGAGATAGAGAGCATGAGAGGGGGGAGGGTCAGAGAGAGAGGCAG